TAATAATAATAAATAATAATAATAATAATAATAATAATAATAATAATAATAATAAATAATAATGCTCTATAAGCAACAATAATAAATATAATAATAAATGTTAAAAGAGGAGAAATACTAACTGCCCTAGAATTAAAACTGAACAATCACCAGTACTACGGAGTGAAATCACATCAACCCTGCAGAAAGCAGACTAGAACAGACAATAAAAAGAATACTGCTGGAAAATGGTTCAATTCGTATCTGAACTGCTTTGATGTTACCAAAATATATGAATAAATAGAAACTCTAATTGACAATTCACTTATGTAGGTGTCTTTCTTCAAAAAAAAAGGAAAAAAAACATTAGGCGTTAAAAAATTGAGGTAGCGAACCAAAGGTTGAGGTAGCTATCAAGATATTACGTGTTTGATATAGATGTGCTCATGACATAATTACCCGCCTTAAATGAAAGAAAGAGTCCTGGTTAAAAAATTTCTAATAAGACTTACCTTTACAAACTCTGAATAATGAATAAAGATCAAGCGGAAAGAACAAGAGCGGAAAGAACATAAGGCTGGTTTCTTTAACAAAAAATAACTTTAGTATTTCTTCACAGCAAAGCGAGCTTAATTTGCTCTGTCATGAAGTGATCCTAATTCTCTCACGGTAAAGGACAAAACAAAAGGAGGTAAATATATTACTATATAAGAGGAAATTAAAACACTATGAATGAATCAAGAAATTAGAGAAGTTGTGTGAAGAGTACATTATTCTGAACAGAGTGAAATTGAAATAATAAAAAGGATCTGGAAAAAAAGGATAAACAAATTTCCAACAGATATTTGAAAACAGCCAGCCGAACTTCTGAATACAAGACGCTTTTTACTCATTCGTTTTCAAACTGCCCGTCTTGTTAGTCTTTTCTAAAACACTACTGCAACTTTTGCTAATAGATTTTATACAGCTCTTCAGAAAGGTAAATGAAATGGATCAAGAAATAACTAAGGAGTAAGATAAGATAAAATGAAAGACTGCCATATCTTAATAAGTAAAAGAGGAAATGTCAATCTATATTATTTAGCTAAAATCTGACGGATATGTACAGTTATTCCAGTCACTGATTTCAACCACCATTGTCTTACATACAAATGAAAAATCCCGATAAATGACAACATAGTCCTTTATTAGACAGAATAAAAGATTGCAATATCTTAAATGAAGGAAGGACTCAAAACAATCCAACAACTACCATTAATTGTCAACAGTTCTGATCCAGCTGGAGTGCACCATATCCATACGGAGTTCCTCGACGATCCGTCGACCATCCTTTTGAGTCCGACTACAATGCATTTGTTCCCAATGGTGCGCAAATTCGACCATTGTAAACGTACGGTAATCACACTGACAACAACTCAGCTCTTGTCGAGGATATCTCCTGCAGTCGATGTCTCCTTTCAATTTGATCTATAAAACGAAACTGATCTACTAGCAAAACTAAAAATCAGTTCTTTAGCATTTTGAAAAGATACATATTTATGAGGCCAATATTTATAGGTAATTTCGATATTTGATTCTGTCACTCATTGTTTATTTACGGACAACGAAGTAAGAATAACTGTGTTTGGCATTCAAGTTAGATCATTTTTCACCAAATGATGATTATTTTTTAAATACAAAACTATTCCATTTATGTCTGATACTAAGCTCGATTTAACTTTACTGCCTACTTAATCAATCAAATTACGGATCTTCATTAAATCCGATCTGATAAATAGTACAATGCAAACAATTCAGTGTTCATGAAGTCCGAACCATAAGCAAGCTAATCACAACACTTGCGAAAGGCTTACGTATGAAAAAATTGGGATTTAACTGTGCTAACATTAAGAAATGAATGTATTGCCAGATCGGATTCAATAATACATTGCTAACAAAAGAATAAATCAATACCTGCGATTCATCGGGATTTGTGATAGCTTTTTTATAAAAAAATGAAATGGGTACATCCATGTGATGAGTGGCAACGTGAAAATCAACGACATTTTTAGTTTCCGACGAATAATCACAAAGTTCGCACTTGAAGAATGATTTTGCCCCGTGCTTTTCGAAATGTGTATTATATGCTATGATCGTATCGCATCGGAAAGAGCATCTGCTACAGGTGAACTGAAAATTGTCGGAATTCAAACTGGAATCTTATTAACTCTTACTGTAAATAACCTATTATCTAATTCTATTGGCTTAGATCAATATTAAGTCTTTTGCTTTTCGCTAAGTGAAGTGCATTAATACGAGTAATTTTCAAAACTTGAATTTGATTGGGTCTAAATTCTAAGCAAACTTGTTCTTAATTCGAGTATAATTTTGATTAAAACATTTTGTTGTTTAAAAAAATGCAGGAAAAAAACTCCGAAATTTGCTAATTTCAAAAAATGAACTGCCTTCACATGAATCACATGAAAAAACTTTGAAGTTCTATTTCATATTGTGATATCTAGTACAATCATTACGAAAGGGTAGCATATGTCCAAGATCACTAACCTGCCTGTCTGAGCGTTTATCCGGTCGACGAATTTTTGGCCTCACAAATGGTTCAGAAGTATTCTGTGCGGCTCGCTTGATGGATGTTGTCAGTCGTTGCTGTATGTGCTGCAATACTGAGGTTATATTGAAAGAAACAAATGGGACACATCTTTAGTGCAGTACAAATAAAGATGTTGAAATCCAAGGCTCAAAAACCTTGTAAACCGGTGAAAACTTGAAGTTGAAATCAACGTGATGATTCTGAACTAACTCTAAAATACTCAATGCCAACCAGAGCGTGATCAAGACGATGCTGCTCGAAGCGATCGTGATAAGCAGTTTTGTAAGGGCATATTGCGCACTGATGAACTTTAACATCTGAAGGGATCGTTTCCGGACTCTGATGATATCGATGTCTTAGCAATCGCTTCCTATAAAATATCCTTGCTATGGATGAATTTTCGCACGAGCTACCGAGACTTTGTCAAGTGATAAGGTATAAGACAACCTCGCACAATCGTTGGTATTTGTGATTTATCATTCTTTTCATCTCACTCATAGTTAAATCCTCTGGGTACAGAGATGATAGTCTCAGTCTTGAAGATTAAAAAAGAACTCTGTCCTTCATTAGACCCCTTATTTTAGCCTCCAAAGAACTTTACAGTAAGGCAAAACTTGACACAAAATTGAAGACTAACCTATTCTTCGCAGCCGAACGAGATGGCAATGAAGGAAAATGTAGGTTTAAATGCCTGTGTAAAGAAATCGGACAAAGAGAACTGTATGTACACAAATTGCAACCATACTGACGATGTCCGATATGCATTTCTTCGTGATAATTGAAAAGTACCTCATCTGTCCCAAAATAGGGACACTGTTTGCAGCGAAATACCTTAGTTAATGATTCTGAAATAATACAGAATAAAAGAAAAAAATAGTACCAAAGTTACACCAGTCTGGAACCAAAAAGGATATAGAAAAAACAAAAACATCGAAGACATGCTAACGAAGATGAAAACGAGATTCCTTTTTACTTCCAGCATTTAATATTCCTCTCAGGATATAAATTGTTCTGTGGTTAGTTTAGAGAGCTATTCACACTCAAATATCACTAACTTCACCCACACCAATAAACAATTGGAGAAAATGAAGTTAGCAAGCTGTATTCCATTTTCTTACCTGTGTCATTCATTGCTTTAAAATTAGGCAATTTTGAGGCAATGCGGCTCAAATTGAATTGATAAGTTTTTGCATCCTTTTGACAATTAAGCCAGAGCACATTTGTGGAACTTACTATACAGTCTTTCCGTTCCTCTTTCACAACATCTTTTTCCACTACACACATTCCACTAGCACTGATTTCTTCCGAATAATAATCTTTCATCACTCTAAAAAAAGATTGCACGTCAGAAAAGGTGAAATATAAATTATGTCATCATGGACTACTTCGCTGTTCCTTTTAACTCGTTTCAAACTAAAGAAAGACTAAATACTTAGTCTATTTTATTTTGGATTCAAACATATAAATTTATACGAAACTGTTGAATTTAAACCTACCACAGCATAAATACAAATAATCAGCAAAACCAAAAAAGTACAGTTCTTACATGAATTCTTCCATTTTCCTATCATAACTTTCTGGACTATCATGATTCTTGTGACTTTGACGATGCTTCACTAAACAGAAATTTGAGCCGACACTGTAGCTGCATAAATCACATTGATAGCGTGATGCCTTTCGATGCTTTTGTTTATGATGCCAGAATTTTCCATAACCACTACATTTAAAAGGGCATTCCCTGAAAGAGCACAAGAAATACTGAAATCAATGATCAGGTGGGAAATCAAACTTAATTTCGAATTGAACCGAATTGAATCAGCGACTGCAGTTCATTCACATCAGTATATTCTCCGCTAAATATTTTACTTCCATGAAACATATATATATACATACTAAATCATGGCCTAATATGTATCATGAGGAAAGAATTATTTTAGCCCTCCATAACTAAAAAATTAAAATAATAACCGAAAACTCAGAAATATCACGAAGAGAGTTTATGAAGCGATAATAACTGCGAAGTGTGCATTGATGTGTGGTAAATGATAAAGACCAGAAAGCATCTCAGATGTGTGAGATGTTCTAGAAGTTCTAAATAAACCAGAAATGCCTGCGGCCCTCATTTTATAATCATTGCAACAGAAAGTAGCTATTACCATCAGTAACCATCAGTAAAACTCTTAACTTACCGGCAAGAATATTCTCCATTTGGAAGTTTAGCCGGTTTGTTGCTAACAGCTAGCTTGCTTGATGAAGAATGGGACAAGGATTCAGTTGATGGATGCAGTTTCATATGATCATGTAATTTCGTTTCATAAGAAGTACTGAACGTACACTTTTCGCAACGTAATCGACCATTCCACAAATGATTCCTAAATGGAGGGGGAAAGAATGAATATCAAATAAATAGGTATGTAACAATTCTAATTCCAGTTCTCACTTAGGTGTAATTTTTATAAGCTGTTTTCCACATACTATCAAACTTCTCCAATTACAATTCTTATCCAAAAACAACATTGTGTCTCCCACTCTTACTACAATAGCGGGATAATACGCTGCTAGTAACTATGAATCAGAATTTTGATTGCCATTCCTCTTCCAATCCTTAACATAATTTAATCTTTACAATTAACCTGTGATGGATAAAAAGCGTAGCGCATATCCGTGTTCTATAGGGACACCAACGACAAATATACACGCTTGACAATTGATGACCACTTCGTTCTCCCACAATTTTGCCACGACGCCGTAAAATACAATGATTTTTGAAGCCCTCGCCTTTCCGTACCTGTACATATGAATCGTTTAAATCAATATTCTATCTAAAACATTTCCGGGAAAAAGTGATCAGAAGGAATGGATGAAATCTATCACATTACCCTAATCGTGAGGAAATAACGACGCTGCAAAATACGTTTTAGAACACAGAGATCCGCAAAGCAGAACTAACTCTCTGGCTAGTCAAGACATCATAACTTGATGTTACAGCTAATCCTGCAAGCAATATCCTAGTTAATCAAAGACTTTTCGAACTGAAGATTGGGTAACTTACGTTCCAAGTTTCTACAGGAATACAATTTATGATTAAGCAACATTGACCTGGGAAAGTCGGAAGAGGGGAAGGAAAGAGCACATAAGATTGAAGAAATGATCTGAATGGTCATGAAATAATCCAGCATTCTCATCAAATCATTCATTCATTATTATAACTTTTGTGCACTTTTCAACTACACTTCAAATTGAGACGTTCGATTCAAGTAAGTTTTGTCCGTAACAATAAAACTTTCCCTTTTTCAGTGTATAATACCTCTGTTAGTGGTATTTAAAGTGAGGATTTGGACGAATGTTACTATGCATTTTGATTATAAAATGCAAATTAACATAACGTATTCTATACCATACGATTTATCATACGACAATTAACAACCTCTGTGATAATCAAAGATGATAACCTTTGGGATAATCAACGACAAACCCTCTTGTGATTACTAATAAGGTGGAAAAGTAGCCAACATCCTTCCGCATATCAACAAGAATGTTATATTTCTGGACAATAGATCCTGTCAATCCTCAGACCTAATCATTTGCCCTATTTTTGCTACTGCCAGGAAGGCATTTCGTCATATGTCACAAATTGAGAAGTCCATTATTAAGTATGAGTACAACGAAACATTAAGATTACATTGTTGGAAACGCCAGTGATGCCTTCTCTTTCAGCCATATGAAGTTGCAAATGTGCATCGAGAACGTGAGATCGTTTTGTACTATATGTACATTGCTCACATGCAAATTCTCGTTTCCCAACATGCATTTGTGCGTGAGTTCGCAAATCGCAGATATGTCGGCTGGTATAAGGACATTCACTGCACTTTTCCACTTTCTAAAAATATGAATGAGTGCATAAAACTGCCGAATATCACAATGTACTTTTCATGTAAACGACATAAAGGTCATTTCCTTCAACTTATCCCTCGCTTTCATTATTTTTATTCTACGTTTACTGGATATTCTAAATTTTGTAACACGCAAAAAAAAAACAAAAAATAAAATGAATACTACTAATCATATTTTGATCCAAATTATGAGTAGTCAGTGATTTCGAAAAACTGGTAATTACTTCATCCATTTCCAATCTTTTACAGAAAATAAATAAATGAATGCGAAAATACACAATGAAATTTAGAAAGCGTAATGATAAGCAAACCATTCGTACAGTAGTAGAGGTAGAAGTTTTCTCATTATCGTGGAGAACTTTTGGACGTCCAGGCATCTGAAGCAGCTTGGGGATTTCCTGGTGAAGTCGCAGATGTTGCATCAGTACGACTGTTGAACGGCATGAGAATGTGCAATGTTTACACTGGAAAATATGGATATATATAAGTTGTGAGAAAAATGTTGTTTGACAATCACTGGAACCCTATGTCCTTTTTGGCATCAAATAATTACAGGGCTTATCGAATGGAAAATCAGCATTCGTGAAGCAACGAAAACAAACGATTGGGATGCAAACTAACTTGATGTTCAGCTTTTACGATATGCTTATTTTCATGTCGCAAAAGACGAGACTTCTGTTTGCAAGTAAAGGGACAGTATGAACAGTGATGTGTAGTTTGTGCTAATACACTACAACTGTCTAGTACTTCTTCCCTGAAAATAATTATTTTGAACCTTTATTTCACTTAACTGATTTTTGCAATATTGCAATAATTTGAATATGTTCCAAAAAAACTTTTCCAATATTTAGACAAGACCAACTTTACAGACCCCAACACTTTTTGCAATATATGGAACAGTAAAGGTGAATGCAAAAGAAATTAATTATGGTTTCAAACATATTTGAGGTGTTTTAAAAAAAATTTTTTTCAAATAACCATTACTTATTGGCTTCTTGCAACATATATGAAGAACAAAGACAAAGTAAAAGTAGAACATGTTAAACAGATGGCTGAAATCTTGCTGAAATTTCCAAACGATGAACGTAGGAAAAAAAATCAGCTCGAGAGTTGCGATTTTCAGAATGAAATTTTACGAGCACAGTCTAAGAAATTTTTGATAAAAATATTATCCTAAGCAATGATTAGTCATAAAATGATATTATTAGAATGAAAAAAGAAACAAACGTTGTATCAGTAGCACTGTAACACATATTCAATCGTTCCCTTAATAACGACTTATATTTTTCCTTAGCAATATGTTCTGAGTGCCTGATAATGCAATGCACAAGACGTAGGGTATAACATTTGAAATGACGACCACAGAAGCCACATAAATATTTTTGCTGCAATGAAAAATTGGTTATTTTATAATGACTTCCACTGGAAAGGCTAAAAACTAAAAATCCAGCTTTCTTATCACAGGTTCTTAAGATTTAAAATGAATTATCATCAAAGATATAGAATTTCTCCATAATTTTAAAACTGTATCCATTTGGTCGAAAAAATATGTATTGCTCCAAACCATTTTTCAATATTTCAGCTACATAACGAATGTATCATTACTAAACAACGTATCGAGCATTTTGACATCTTCCTAGCATATGCCTTGCAGGTCTCTAACAATCTTTTGTAATCAAATATTTCAGTCATCTTTTGCGTAAAAATGTATACATATATATATATATATATATATATATATATATATATATATATATATATATATATATATATATATATATATATATATATATATATATATA